TAAAACTATGAAAAAAATTCAACACTTGTAAGCCATAAACTCTTCTGAAAAGTATTGAAATGATGGATCTCTGTTGATTGCCTATAGTCTGATTAATTTTTTATGATTTTACTTTGAAATAAACAAAATTACAATAATTTAATATTTTTTTCAAATTTTTCATCCCGATTATTTACTGAAAATTTCTCATTTACCTATCTTTTTATACACTTTGAGTATTTTTTACTGAAATAAAAAAAAATAAAATATTGTCAGCACTTTTTCATGGTTGACTAGTAAAACATTCCTGACTTACCGACATTATACGCTCGTTTCACGGTCGTTTCACTTACAAACTACCGTGCAATGACAGACGATCGATCGATGATCTACGATTTTTACTTAGGTAAAAAATCGAAGAAGTCAAGTAAAAATTTGGTTTTTCGAAGAGTGAAGTATGATAATTATACAGAATAAAAATCATAAAGTAACAGTGAAAAACTTTCACAATGATACTCGTCGTTCACTGTCAAATGACGGCCGTTCGACAGTCAAGTGACGGTCATTCGACGATCATTTGTCGACACTGTGAATTCACGGTACATTCACCGTCGTTTCACGATCATTTTACTATGAACCCGAATCCGCCACCAACAATACCTGTTCACGTCTGATCATACCTGCTCATGACTGATCAGGCATGGTCATTTTTCCCGCGTTTGCCAGGCATGGAAAAGTATGATCATGACTGATTAGTTCTGATGATGCTTGGTCATGCATGACCATACAAGCTCATGTCTGGCAAATATACATGCATGATCATGCATGACATTAACGCCTGATCGTACATGTTCATGCATGATGATTTTTTCCCGGGTTTATATTTAATTTCTCTTATATCTTCTATAATACCAACGTCTACAAAGCCGTTTGGCGTTTGAAATATAATAAATAAATGAATTATTATGGGAATACTTGCTAAATAATGATAGAAATATTTCTTATATTATATGATCGGAATAATATTCATGATATTATGGAAATAATTCCTGTAAATATAGGAACCACTCCCATAATTCGTATGGGAACTATTTCCCTAATTATTGGAAACGATCTTATAAATTCTAGAAACACTTCCTAATATTGTGGGCTTTATTCCCATAATCATAGTAATCGTTCCTATAATCAGTATAGGAAATAATCCCATAAATTTATAGTAATAATACCTATATTTTTCTTTCCGTGTATCATTACGTTTTTGACCGTGGTTTTCAAACGCTGATGTTTAAATTCTACTTATTTTAGATAGTAACTGTTATAATTTCTGATGGTACCTGTTACCATTTGGATTATAAATATAACTATTTAGAATAATAATAGTAATTAACTCTAGTCAACATATAAGATTGTAACAATTATTATAAATATGGCGAATGCTACAATCTATAGATGATTTATACAATCATCTAGATAGTATTCACTACTATTAGGTTGATGGTAGAAAATTTTACCATAACTAGATAATAACTGCTATTATTTAATTTTCTCCGTGTAGCGGGAAGTTAAAAATATTTGTTTGCAAATTTTTCTCTGAGATTTTTCTAAAACTTACGCACACTCATTCTGGTGAAAATAGTCAAAATAGTGCTCTAAGACCTTAAAAAGTTGAGTTCTGATGAGAACTTGATTTTTGAAAATCAAAATTAAACCAATTTTTGAAAATTATAGCCCTCTTTTCCTTAAAATAATCGATTCTTCAATCGATATAAATAACACAGGACAAAATTATCTAGAATTAAATATGTTGTCATAAATATACTGTAAGAAAGGCGGAGTTAAAAATGAACTCAATACCGCTTGGTATTGAATTGGATTTACCCCGCTGTAGACGGTTTAATTTTGCGGTGTTAAAACGGTGTAAAAATTGAATAAATGCTATACTGTAAAGAATTGGAAGTCAGTTCGGAGTGAATTTTAATTCCCGTCATTGAAAGTACCGAAGTAAAGAAATAATAATACACTCACAGTATACGGAGTAAATCTGATGGAATTCGTTTTTCTGGGAAGTGATTCCGGAGTGAATGTGGATTTTAAGCCGAAAAATATCAGAGTATGGAGTGTTTAAATTAAAACAAATATTTATTTAACTGAAACCAATTTCATAAGCCAAATTTTTTTTTGTCATCAGTATAAAACTTTCAAATTTTTGAAAAAAATATTTTTTTATCGATATGAAAAAAACTCAAATTAATAACAACATTTTTCGGTTAGTATGAACACTCCGCATTTACTCCGCATACTCTGCAAATTTTTTACAGTGCACAATTTTCTATTATTAGTCGTTAGTAAATTTACTAAAATTGTTATAATTCAGGGAATAAAAATATGAAAAAAGAATTTATACTTATGGAAAAATATATCAACTGAGCTTTAACACTAAAAATAAATTAACACACCGGTGTTGGTGTTAATTTAAGACCGCTTTGAAATTAGAACTTACACTGGTTTCTTTTTTTAGAGTATACGATATCATTAATTAATTACTCTACCTGTTTTCGATGATTTTTTTATCACGAACTTTTCATCTTCATTGTCGAAATATTTAATCTTTAATAAATTTGTTGGATACTTGTGAGTTAATATCAGGGCTAGAAAATTTTTAACTTGAAAAAGAATGGTTTTTGGAAATAACTTATTTGCTAAAAAATCTTCAGAGTTGTTCTCATTGTCTTCAGGTTGATGAGTGAATCTTCATTGATGTCAACGAAGGATCTTCGACATTTCAGTAATTCTATTTTAATTTTCAAAGAATTGAGGAAGAAATTCGTTTATTAAAATTTCGTCATTGAATCAAATCTCGTACGAATTAATTACAACAGAAAATATAAAAAAATCTTATAAAATCAAAAATAAATGATTATCAATACTTTGTTGAAATGTGCATTGTAATACGAATCGTATATGGACACAATTTTAGATGGTATATAACTCCAGCTAAGAAAAAAAATTAAAAGTTAAATTAATTAAATTCTCTATTCGAGATATTTTGCATACTATAAAATTAAATCATTCATCATCATTTTAGTAATGACAGTAAGTGGTCACAATAAAAAAATGACAGTATACCTCAATAATTCTAAATTTAACTTTAAGAATTTTATTGTATATCATTTATTGACATGCAAGTATAGAAACTCGAACTTTTTATATAAGTTTAATGACATTTGATAGATAAGCGGGCAGTGCTTTCGTTAAGTAAGTTGCGAGTCATATAAGCAGTATAGTACAAGCAACTACTGATATCGGTATTGAAATACGTTAGTTGGAATTGGCGTCGAGAATGTTCAACGACCAACTCATTGTATCTGGAAAACCGGAGACTCCATCTGAAGATTTAGTACACACAGTGACCCGACTTGATTCTGTTAGGTATATCTAATTTATCGCATGATTCATTTCAATATGCCGAAAGAATTGACAAGAAAAGACGTTCAACTGGGAGTCGTGATATAATGGTTGAATGTAAGTCGCCGCAGCTTGTTAGTAACTTTATTGCTGAGAAAAGGAAGCATAAAAATTTTACAGCAAACATTTTGGATTCTGAGATGGATAGAATATATAAAGAGGAATATATAGATTGCTGATTCCTGCGTCTGCGTACGACCAAAATAAGGATCTGAGCCGATTAAAATTTATCTATCCAATGTTGCGGTATTTGTTCGGGATACATTGTCGTCGCGAATTGTTGCCTCTTCGTTGAATAATCAAGACGCTAGGCCAGAATATTTGATGATTGACTATGGACTACTAAAACTAAAAACGTGTTGATCAGTGTTATTTATAGGCCACCTCATGCAACTCTACTTGATGATTTTGAAAAGGTCTTTGAAGAACTTTTGCTGTCCTACAATAACATTATTATCGTTGGTGATTTGAATATTAACGTGGTTTGTAATACTTATGAATCTAGGTGCCTAAATGACTTTCGCAATCAGAACAGCTTGTTTTTGGTGCAATTTGATGCAACTCAGCACACCTCTACGTCTGATACTTGGATTGATCACTGTGTGGTGAATAATCAATCTGCTATAATTTCTTCTGCACAGTCATCAGAGCCTTTTCTGTCTGGACACGACATATATATATATATATATATGTCTCGGTGGTCAAATTTAATTTTGTCGAAATTACTGGTAATGCTGTCGTACGGAATTAAAATCACATATTTACTAGTGCAGTAGGCCCAGATGGCTTGTCAATTCGTTGATTTATTTAATGTGTCGTTGGTGACTTCTGAATTTCCCCAAAATTGGAAGGATTCTTTTGTGCTGCCTATTCCTAAGGTGAGATCCCCGCAAAATTTTTGTGAATACAGATCTATTTCAATACTCTCTTCATCATCGAAAGTATTAGAACGTTGTGTTTATGATCAGTTAATAAAATATTTTACCTCAAACAACATTAGATCCTCTTCAAACTGGATTTCGAGAAGGTTCAAGTACTCGGACTGCGTTGCTTCGCTTTTATGATGATATATATATATA